GCTTGCGCTAAAATCAATGTGAGATCTCTTCTGGCATACCTAAAACTCATCACATGTTTTCCACAGGTGGCAATACATATTTTGCAGAGCACTGAGTGCTGGAATCCTTTGGTAGTGGAAAACACTTAAAGACACGAAAGACTCAGATATGCTCCAATCCGCAAACACTTACTCTACTCGGAATTGATGGAACACGGGACCAGATCTGACCCCTTTCCTCTGTGACATCTTTCCTTGAAATGACATCTCTTGAAATGCCTGCCGTCCATTTTATAGGAAATAAACAACGGTTGACGTAGTATAAATACGACACTCGGGCTCCTTAAATCATCCTGGGCGCCAACTATGGGTTATTTAGGGTAGACAGTGCAGTAGTATCATCGCAAAATGCTACTGTCACTGAAGGCTAACTTAGGCTGTGTTTTTGGCTGCATTGGAGAAAGCGGCCTACGTCCAATCCCTGTTTGGTCACTTTGACTTTGTCCTGTCAACGTTTCATGCGGGAGGGGGTTCAGCAGGGAGAAGATAACAACGCGTCTATTTTCACTATATCTGGCCGCAGTAACCGTCCTTGCTCTGGACATACGGTGGATATCATGGATTAAGGTGGTTGAAATAACACTTTACGCCTATAATGTACTTGTAATACTGATGATCGCGTGGCCTTATCTCAAGTACTTTCAGTCACGTCCGAATGCCAACTTTTTGACGGGGTAATCTATGAAGGCGTACTAAAAGTTAATTCTGGAAAAAATGGCTGCTTAAGTAGTATGCCTTTAAGTCACTGATGTTCACTAGCTTAATAAAAAAACATATACGAAAATATTGTTTCTTGTACGCTTTTTCTAGCAAATTACGCTTTCTTTAGGTTGTATATTTAAAGAAGATGTATATTTTGGTTTAAATGGTATTTTTACTTATGACTATTTTACTATCTTGGAATGTTTAGTCATACTACTTTGTAAAACTGAGAGCGTTCCTTTCTTTAAGTATAACCTTAAAGAAGGCGTGTTTTTCTGGAGTTATTTCGTATATGTTTTGTTAAAATAATTTATTTGAATATATACTAGGGCTAACAAGAATTAGTGGGTTTAATATACATATTAATTGAGTAGCAAGTGTTAAAAGCAGCTTAAACGACAAAATGCAGGTGGGACTGTGATAAATTGCAAATAAGCTATACGATAACCATTTAGCCAGCCATATTTCATTAATATGCTCCACTCAAAAACATATTTCGTTATTTCGGTTGACAAATCGTCAATTAACAGACCTTATTTGAAAGTGCCACTTCATAAGAACTGCACTGTGATCATGCTGACTCAATGTTGTCTTAATCGAATGCAGGTCATGTCCAAACCTTACACATCAGTGGTTCAGCAGTCAATGTATAGGTTTTTACATACGGCCAGGGTTGTCTGCAATTTATCGTCGCCTTACTTGCCAAGAACACTCCCTGGTCTTGACCTATGTGCGTTCCTGTACAAGAGAATATTCGTCAAACATTTGGTAAAGCTTTCATATTTACGGAGCACGTGCTCAACCCCAGTCTGTCTTAGTAGCCAGATATCATAAGTTTGTGCACATCACCCCTATACGAGATTAATCACACGCATCAATCACCTTTGTAGGCGAGTACTTTTGCACTAGGCATTTCCACGGCACAGCCAGAAAAAACATCACATCACATCCAAACATCGATTTCACAATGAGAGCGGAAAGGAACAACCAACTACCCTTCCTCGATGTCCTTGTGCTTCGGTGTTCAACTGCAATATTGCAAACCACAGTATTCAGAAAGGCTACCGACGCGAATCAAGCGCTTAATTTTAACAGCAATCATCCCATTTGTCACAAATGTACCTGCGTTCGTACTCTCTTCCAAAGAGTGGAAACACATTGCGGCACACCAGCCGCCAGAAGAGCTGAGCAACAATATGTCCACGAACTCTTCT